CCCATTTTTGTTTTCCTTGGTTTGGGTTCTGAGCCTTTTGGGGTCATATATTTAGTTTTCTCTTTGTATGTGGTTTGCTTTCACATTAAAGTAGAATCTCTACTTGACGGTTTAGTACGAGCTGCTTGTTTAATTGAAAAATTTAAAGAATCAAAATCGAACAGATAAATGAATACCAGACATTTTATATTACCTTAAAATATGCAAATACAAACTAATTCCTCAACCTCTTGGATAGGGCCCAAGCCTTTCCTTCAGGAATGGATCAGCCATTTAGAGTTCGATGGCGCCTCTCTTGTTAAATCATACCCACATCAACAAATTGTAGTTTTAGTTTCTTTGACACAGACCAATTGCTTTAAGACGCTTGTGGAAGATTCTGAAAGTCCTTGGAAAAGGATCCACCGTCCTCCCTACACACCTGTGTCTGTCCTGCCGAGCACTCTTCAGACCCAGGTCTGGAGCTGTGCTTCTGTGCCTGAGTTAGTCGAAATGTTTCAAAATTGTTCCACCTTGAATTTTAGGTTAAATTGGCAACGTGTGGCCTGCCTATGCGTCTGCAACAATGGGTTGACCAGGACTTGGGACTAAGTGGCAATTTTGCTAACATGTAGATGCTGGACCGGATTGAATGAACTCAAGATTAGAGTCAGGGAAGCTCTATGGTAGTTGTTCAGCTGCTGCTCCAGAAACAAGCCCTGCCTGTGTGATACTACAGGGACCCTGGTGCAGAGTCATGTGAAATACTTCCGGCATTTCAAAACTTCTGGGTGTTGAGAATAGTCATCCAAGACCTAATATATCAGTTTTTCTTAATAATCTTACTTTTCCTTAAATAAATCCTTTCCTTTGTAAATGCACTTAAATAATTCGGAAATTCAAATAATTGACCAAAAGATACAGGGGCCATATTTTCACTCCCATTGATTTCGATCCACCATTTCTAGATCCATTTTTTGAAACACTGTGGTTGCTTTAACGGAATATAACCCATTAGTTAATATTCAAGTACAAAGTCATTCAAA